TTTGGCTGCTCCGCTCACACAGTGGCTCAGCTATGCTCCAATCACATGCGAGGATATAGGATAATATCATTGTGTGAAAAACAGAGAGGGTGATGGACGCGACAGTCAAGTGGAGCGTGCGTCTGTCCTCTCAGTGAGTGAGACAGTAACAGCGGTGAGGACGGCTGTGCGAGTGCAAAAACACAAATATGCCTGAGACCCGTAAACGAAGCAGCATCTGGCTGCAGTTTAAAGACTCTTTGGTCTCGGTCTCGATACCCTCTGGTCTTGGTGTTGTCTCGGTCTCGATACCCTCTGGTCTTGGTGTTGTCTCGGTCTTGACTACAAGTCTACAGATGAGCCAATGAGCATACAGGAGAGCTGAACTGAATCTGTATGAGCATGAAGACGTAACGCTAACGATGTGTCCGTTCTCCCAGAGTCTCCCAGCATCACATCTTTGAGATCTCATCTTGTTATGCCCAGAGCCCGCTACACTCTGGGAGGTCAGGCCGACCTGTGGCTCCTAGAATTCCTGAATGGGAGCCGGAGCGTTGAACTGTGGGAACCAGCTGCTCGTTGACTTCTGGAGACAGACGCTCGCTCTGCTTTCATGATTTTTGCTCAAAGGGTTTCTGGTTAAAAGAGCCGAGGTTCTGTCTTTAGTATCACATGGCTGTCACAGAGTGCTTTGAAATGAACTCTGTTATCAACTGTGTTTACATAAACCTGTGCTAAACTGCTCCGACAGGTTTAGCTTCAACCATAACTGACATAATGTGATCTGAGTACAGCGTGAACATTATTCACATGCGTATTTATTCTCTGCAGACATGCTTCTATCAGCTACAAGCCCCGAGTGCTACTCCTCTTTATAAGTGATGCATTTCTTTCATGCTGGAACATAATCTTGTGATATTTCATTTTTGCCCAACGTGCACCTCTCACAGACTCGATATCATGCTGTGACTGATACACACTCACAGCACGCTGATGAAGGATCTGAATGAAGGAATACAGTTCAAATGCTCATTTTGACACAAATAAACAGGCAGGTAGAGGACTGTCCCAGCCCCACTGTCACAGTCTGCCCCCACTGGCCGTGACACTGTCCCAGCCCCACGGTTCCACACGGTGACGAGTTTTCTTCTGCTGCATTTGGAGCCACAGGATGAACCTTGGACTCACCTTGTGGGTTAACTGAGGGGATGTTTTATGGTACAGTCGTTAATTGTGCCTCGTACATTTAGAGGCGTGAGTGAAGCTTTCATTACTGCATTCTTGCAGGTTGAGCAGTTTTAAATGTCCTTCGCCCTTATCAGTGCTCACACAGAGCTCAGCTTTTATCGTACACAGGAGGGGGAATCGGTCCAAATGTCAGCCATAAAGCCCGGAGTGTGGAACGGCCGGATGGAGAGTAATGG